GAGAGAGAGAGAGAGAGTACCGTGGACCTGTCGTAACAGTGATCAACACACGCCTGGCCTGGCTTGCTGCACAAGCGGCCCTCCAGGTCCTGGTGTTATAGTCATGGGTATTTGTGGGGAAGGTTCAATATTGTTTTAAAGATTGAGAGGTCGACACGCCTTTAAATTATGTCACCGAGATACATAATTCAGTAATCAAGTCCCATGAGACGTCTGTCCGCTGACAGGGAAGGACTCTCCTACTCCTCCATGGCCCGCTTTCTCAATTGTTATCTTCACCTATGACAGTATCATGTATGTGTGGTTGACATGGAACAGAGGATGGCAATTTGTTCATGGTTCCTCTGTCGTCTTGGAAAGCGTGATCATTCGATTCAGTGGCTAAGCCCGTTTTCATCTTTTATGATATGTAAACTCCTCAAATGCTGTTTATTGGGCATCCCACCTGGGCATCCCACAGGCATCCCACCCACCCTTTATCATATCTAGAAGGCACTTTGTAATGAAACGTTTACAGAGTGTGCGGTTTTAAACATTCATGGTTTGACGAGTCCTTATGTTGACCACCACGAACGACACGTCAAAAATGTTTCGAATCGGAAAGAGGACATGAAGAGCACTGGCTCCAAGAATTCTTAAATGACAATGTTCTTTTTACAAATTTGTATAAGAAAAACCAACAACACTGTTTAAATGTTACAGGGATGGAAAAATTTAAAGTTAAAAAGAAAAGGAAAAAAAAGCAATTCAATTGGTTCACGACTTTCCTGAGAAGATTTTTAATTCGTGCATTTTGCTTTAATGGGTGTTTTTCTTTGAGGCGTTTTCGTTTTCTTAAATAAGTTTTATCTTTATGAATTTTATGTTAAATACATTCCTTTTAAATGAATAGCGATGGTTCCGAATTACAACATTCTAGAACGTTTTATTGTGAGATATTCAGAAAAAATGTGTAAAGTTGTTGTTGTTTTTGTTTTTTTCTATCTCTACCATCTTCTGTAGGACCTAGGTCTGCCTTCGACCAGTCCTGAGAGTTACCCACACACGCCCAGTCTGACAATCTGTCCTGCAGATCGTTGGGTTAAAGAGGGGGCGGTTAGGTATGAGGATGGTGTGGTATGAATGTGGTGTGGTTTGATCATATGGTAAGGTGGGATGACGGTGAGGTTTGAGGGTTGAAGCAGCCCGTTTCCGAAATATCTAACTTATGCTGAAAGTGACGTAGAACATCTACAATTATAGAAAAACTATTATTTCTTACTTCAATGTCGATAAGTCCGCCTTTCAGCTTCTTAGGGGCGTCAACGGCGAACGATTTCATGGCATCCAGAATTGATCGGTAGCCTGGAAAAAGGATTACGGTAAATAGGAAATGTTGAACTAGAATAATTATCGACCATTCGAAAGTTTCAATGTAGTTAGCGATTTATTTTAATAATAAATTAATAGCAAATAGCAGTCGCAGAGCGTAAATTGACGATCAACAGTACGCTGTATGTGCTGTACAATCTACATCATTATCACAGTGGTAATGGTAGTGGTAGTGGTAGAGGTAGTTGTAGTAGTAGTAGTAGTAGTAGTAGTAGTAGTAGTAGTAGTAGTAGTAGTAGTACCCACCCACCCTTTACCATATCTAGAACTACTACTCCTACAGGTCACATGTTTGGAACACATCCTTTCAAAAAACCCACGACCCCCTTGCTTTTTAGCGTCAAGGCAAAGTAGTGAAACTCACCTGTGCATCTGCAGATGGTAGAGTCGAAAACATCTTCCACCTCCTTCATGGTGGGCTTGGGGTTTCTTTGTAGCAAACTACACGAAACAAATATACGAAACACGTGAAATAATGCGTGTATTTGTTTATGTGTGTGTACGTGTGTGTATGTTTGTGTGTGTGTATGTATGTGTTTGTGTGCGTGTTTTTGTGAGCGTATGTGTGTGCGTGCATGAGTGTGTGTGTTTGTGTGTGTGTGTGTGTGTGTGTGTGTGTGTGTGTGTGTGTGTGTGTGTGTGTGTGTGTGTGTGTGTGTTAATTGTATTTTCGTTGTTTTGAAAGGTGATAAATACATCGCCTTTTTTCTGAATGAACATTTGCCTAACCGGTGTGGCAATGTGGTTTACGTCATCATCATCATCATCATCATCATCATCATCATCATCATCATCATCATCATCATCATCATCATCATCATCATCATCATCATCATCATCATCATCTGTGTCTTACTCATGATAGCCTAAAAGTTATGCCACCGGACCCATAATTGTGAGACTGCGGGTTCAACGATTCGAGCCTCAGCTCGGTTCGACGTTGTGTCCTTGAGAAAGGCACTTCACACGAATTTCCTATTTTTCCGGTCCTTTAGGAGATAGACGTTAAACAGTGTTGATAGCAGTTTTAAACCTATAACATTTCAACAATTTACTCCTGATTCACCGATACATATTCAGGATATGTCACTGACTCACCCATATCTATTCATTATTTGTCCCACATTCACCCATACATATTCATGATCTTTCTCTGACCCACTCATACATATTTTTTATATTATATCCTTCACTCACCCATACATAATATTTTATCGTCTGTCCCTGACTCACCCATACATAATCATCATTTGTCCATCACCCATAAATAGTCATGGTCTTTCCCTGTCTCACACATACATAGTCATCATCTGTCCATCATTCACCCATACATATTCCTAATCTGTCCCTCACTCACCCATACATATTCATGATCTGCCACTGACACATCCATAATATATTATTCATTTGCCGCTGACCCGCCCATTACATAATATTCATAGTCTGTCCCTCACTCACCCATGCATATTCGTGATCTGTCTTGACTTGCCAATACATATTCATCATCTGATTCTGTCCCTCACTCCCCCGTACATATTCATGATTCGTCCCTAACTCACCAATACATATTCATCACCTATGTCTGACTCACCCATACATATTCATGATCTGCCCCGGTGTGCAGTAGCCACACTGTGCGCCGTCATAGTCGGCCATTCTCCTCTGGAGTTGGTGCAGTCCGGTTGTCGTGTTTCCCAGGCCCTCGATCGTGGTCACTTCAATACCGTCACACGTGTACAGTTGCAACATGCACTGGAGGTGGAAGACCAGTGAGTGTGTTTCGGTTTTTTTCTGGTTTTCTTTTCGCTCTTTTCATGTTTTTTTTTTTCTTTTTCACTTTTTAAAATGTCTTGGTTTCAGTAAGAGTTTTACACAACTTGAGCGGGCAGCTGGAGGGCGTCACCTCGCTACCTTACAATTACAAAGTCATATCTGACAATTTGGACCGTTTTCAGTTACTAAGACCATGGAGTCAGAGACTTAATTAACTTTTCTATCTGCTTTATCAAAATGGTTAGATTACTTGAAACGGTTATCAATATTTTCAAAGAATTGCATTTGAAAAAGCTTGACATATTGTGAAACTTTACATTTTTACTTCAAATATCCTCAAAACGTGATACTGAGTAGATAGACTTTTGTAATTCTAGAGTAACGACCCGCACGGGTAGCTGAATGTCTTCATTGGCGAAACTTGATTTGCTGTTATAAATAATATTCAATATGGAAATGAATTTGTTGGTTTTCCACTCGGTTGATTTCATAGAGATATTCTACACGTACCGCTGTGAAAGAGGGTGCGGTGGCGGAGCGGTTAGTGAGCTCGTCTCCGAAGCTGAAAGTCGCCCCCTCATGCCCACCCAGCAGTAAGGGGTAGCTGACTTCGGGTTGGGGAAGTAAAGGCGGCGTGGAAAGGAACGGGCCACCCTACCACAATATGCCGAAGGCCCAGGAAGTTGTCTCACTAACGAGCCAATCCACAATGTCCGGATAGGAAGCGGGAACAACTTAACTTTTTTCTGCAGTAAGTTAAGGGGAAGGTCCTCATCTGTTAATTCTTTTTTAGAGGACTTTTTTTTCATGTTGTCCACCACCTTTATTTGCGTAACTATAATGCTCGTTCTGTATGAAATTTTTGATATGGTACACACTTAATGTCGCATTTAAAATAAATCTAAAGAACGCTGAACACGTACTAGATCTAGATCTAGTAGCATTATCACTCTAAATTTTCTCTTTTAAAAAGTCGAAAATGACTTTAAACAACATACTTCTTTTTGTGAAGTCTGCTTTCTTCTTAGAATAATGATTATGATAATGCTGCTGCTACTGCCAATGATAATGATAATGAAGATGAGTATTATTATTACTATAATCGTTTTTATTATTATTTTATCATTATCATTATCCTTATTGTTGTCATTAACGTTATACGTATCAATAATTTATTATTGTCAATTATTACTATTATTGTAAATA